CTGACTGTGGATTTGTGGAGTCCAAACGCTTTAGAGATGGTTTTGTAACCGTTTCCAGTCTGATGAGCAACAATAACTCTTTTTCTGAGGTCCTCAGAGATCTCCTTTGTTTGTGCCATGATTCACTTCCACAAACATGATCAGACTTTGATAGATCCCTGTTCTTTAAATAAAACAGGGCATGCACCGACACCTGATAGTCATTCCATTGATTGAAACATCTCTGAACAGATGAACTCTAATTTCACCTTCAAATTAACTGCTAATCCTAGAGATTCAGATAATTTTGCCACTCACAGATATATAATATTGGATAATTTCCCTGAATAAATAAATGTCAAAGAAAATATTTTTGTCTCATTTGCTTGATTGGGTTATATTCATCTACTTTCAGGACTTCTGAAAATCTGATTATGTTTTGGGCTATATTTATGCAAAAATATAGAAAATTCTAAAGGGTTCACAAATTTTCAAGCAGCACTATATATATATATATAGAGAGAGTATCACAACGCATACACACGCTTTCCCCTAAGTGTAAACAACGCTGATTACGCAGATTATTAAAGGGAACTCTCCAAAATGGCAGAAGACGTAACTCGGAGGAGAAGAATTGTTGAATAAATTATGTTGTTTTTGTTTTCTTTCCGCACAAAAAGTATTCTCATAGCGTCACAAAATTGAAGTTGCACCACTGATGTCACATGGACTGTTTTACCGATGTCCTTACTACGTTTCTGGACCTGGGAACATTACAGTTGCGTTACTGTCTATGCAGGGCCTGAGAGCTCTCCGATTTCATCAAAAATATCTTAATTTGTGTTCCGAAGATGAACGAAGGTCTTACGAGTTTGGAACGACATGAGGGTGAGTAATTAATGACAGAATTTAAAATTTTGGGTGAACTATCCCTTTAATGTTTTTGAAAGCCTCTTATGCTCACCAAGGCTGCATTTGTTTAATGAAAAAATACAATAAAAACGGTAATATTATGAAATATTATAACAGTTTCAAACTCTATTTTAATTTATTTTAAAATTTCAGTCCTCAAGTGTCACATGATCCTTCAGAAATCATTCTAAAATGCTGACTTGGTGCTCAAGAATAATTTCTTATTATTATCAATGTTGAAAACAGTTATTTCTGTGGAATCTGTGATTTTTTTTTTTTTTCAAAATTCTTTTGATGAATAGAAAGTTCGAAATAACAGCATTTATTTGAAGTAGAAATCTTTTGTAACCAAGTCCTTGCTGAATAAAATTATTAATCTTAAAGAATAAATCCTAACCTAACTTCTCACTGGTAGTGTGTAACAATAGAGCAAGTAATGGACTGAATACAGATCATTTAATTTTGGGACAGCGTGAAAGCATGCTGTGTAACTGCTGCTTTGCTTACATACTGTTTGTGTGTGTAGCCTGAAAAAGGCCTTACATAACACTATACTCAGGTCAGCCACAGACAAGGGTCACTTTGTAAATATCAGTGTCATGTGCAGTGAAGAAGTTGACCTCAAAAGTTTGCACCTAGTAATTAGACAGCTGGACCTCTCAATTACTTGTCTGTTGCAGCACGCAAAAACAAAGACAGACACAGACTTCAACATATTAGATAATTACACTGGTGGTGACCTGCCTCTAGACAATGTGCAGCATTAAATTCAGAGGAGTCTACAGTCTGTCTACACACACACACACACACACACACACACACACACACACATCCTTCACACTCTAAATGACATGGTACTTATGCTGCCATAAAGATGGAAAGTGGGGATGGGAGAGGTATTGTACATTCTTTAGATTCTCAAAATTCATTAACTTAAACTGAATTACCATGCATAAGGTCAAGTGTAATCCCATTAACACCCGTCGCGCACCAGAGAAAAAAACTTGACTGGTCTAAAACACTCTCTTAAAGAAGTTGTTAATGCCTGCTATTTTCAATTTGACTAAAGTTTGGTGTTGATGACAATCTACCTTATTACCACACACAGACACACAAACATACTTTTTATCTCATAAATTAGATTTCCCCCCCCCAGAATTGCAAGATATAAACTTATAATTGAGAGACATAAACTCACAATTCTGAGAAGAAAAGTCTGAATTGTGAGATATAAACTCACAATTGCTAGAAAACAGTCAGAATTGTTAGATTTAAAAAAAAATCGCAATTATCTTTTATAATTTTAATTTTTTATTTTGTAGAGAAAACAGAATTGCAAAATGTAAACTCAGAATTCTGAGAAAAAAGTCAGAATTGCAAGATGTAAACTTAGAATTGCGAGAAAGAAAGTCAGAATTCTGAGTTTATATCTTGCAATTCAGACATTTTAGTCAAAAAAAAAAAGTCTGAATTGTGAGATGTAAACTCAGAATTACAAGAAAAAAAGTCCGACCTCTGAGATAAAAAGTCACATTTATATTCTGTGGCAGAAACAGGCTTCCATAATATTTATTCAACGTCATAGCGTTTCTTGTTTCAAATGTTTCAAAATCCGAAGCTTTCAGTTTATTTTCAGGTAAAAAAAAAATCCCAGATGTGGTCTCAGACTTTTGGTGCCCACTGTTACACTGTATTTTAAAGCTTACTCTACATGTATGCAACCAAACAAGGTCCACAGTACAAGGTGCAGAGTTGCCTTTATCAAGGAGTCATGCATACACTGCATAGAACAAATGATTAACAGGGCAGCTTTTTGAGCCGATCAAGTATACCCCCTCTGCCATCACTCATCACTTTCAAAAGGCTTTAAGAGCTGATGCTTAAATTGCAACAGTTTGTACAACAGTGAAACAAGAGAAGATCCAAACACACACTCCTCCTGCAATGTGTGTGTATCACCTGACACTTCAGACAGACTTTCTCAAGTGCAGTTTGGCCTTCTCTGTAGTCCTGTCTAGAAACATCCCGCACTGCTTTTGATTTGGACAGACAGTGGCTGGAGGGTGTCTGAGAGACGCTGTCACTTTAAGCAATTAACTTTCCCTTTAAAGCCACTCTTATAAAACTGACAGCTGCAGATATTCACAAAGGACCAATCACCTCTTCAGAAACACAAAACTGCTCTGCCGTAAAACCAAACGGGTTCTCTTTTATTGGGGTGGTCCGGCAACCCGTATACACCCCCCTCACTACCACAGACGGGCCTTCTTACAATGGGACCCTCTATTTCTTAATAACGCTCATGGACTTGGGATGCTCCAAGGAAAGGTTGTGGCCCCCAGAGACCTATAGAGAGCAAACTTTTAAAATGCCAGTAAAGTTGCACACACTGAGCCTCAAAACTAGCTGTTTACACTGGGATTCCAACATGCAGGAGGAATGTATAAATAGGTGGCTTGGAAAATGAATATTGATATTGTATTGCAAAACAATTTCAGTTCAAGTTTATACAACATCCTGTGTACCATCACATATGTCATGAGTTATTACTTTCTAAATCTCAATGGCTACAGCCAAACTATGATTTTCCAGTTAAGCATTTGAGAAACAGAGAGATGACAGAGGCTGATGTGGTGTTAGAGGAGCTCAGGTAAGAACAGACTACTTTTGCACTCTATCATGACCGCAGCATATAATTACCAAGCAAACCAAAGAAAAGAAAGACCTTGATAAATCCGAGATCTAGTAAAGTCTTCAAATCTCAGCCGGACTCAGAGCTTGGTGTACCGCCCTTTGAAGTGGTCGAGATAACTACTGAAGTGTGCTGCTGACATCGATTTGTTGAGCTTTCATGGCAAGCCATTTTAACATTTATTCCTTTAAATTGACTATAATATTCAATACTTATATTACTAATAGTGTAAATATTAAATAACAAATTGTACTTACTATAAAATTATGGTTAGGGTTTGGTTTAGGGTTAGTTGCTTTTTGATGCATAATTTACTGTTATTACTATAGTAAATACATGCAAATAAAGTGTTTGCCAGGAATTTTAATGAGGCTGTGAGAGATAGAAGTACAAAGCTTTTAGTGTACTGTACTGTTGTTTAACAATATACTGATTGTTCAGCCAATGATACGTCTTTCCGAAAAAAAAAACACTTTATAGTAAGATTCAAATATCACCAGTAACAACAGGAATACAAAATACAGTTAATAAATAGGTATAGTGTCTATTAAATTAGTACTAAGAAACCTGGAATAAAAAAAAATACAATAAAAAAATACAATAATAATCATTTGAATAGTTAGAAGTAGGTTACTAGCACCTGATAAATTACTAGTAAAATTGCAATAGCTACGTCTACCAGTAACAACTAGAATACACACTAGTAGTCTAAAGTGAGTATTTTAAATTTGAACCACAGATCCCCATTGAATTAAATGACGGGGGGAGAAATATATTTATTACCAATGGAATGGAATACTAGTTGTCACTGTTAACATAGTGACGACAAGCAAATAAATAATTAAATGCATAAAAAAGTACTAGAGACGTAAAAATAAATGCTCGTTAGTGTACAGAAATAATTGTTAAAACAGCTTGCCATAAGCGTTTAGAGTGATAAATGTGACAGCGCACAACTGAAGAACGAGCGCGCTTCAATAAACTATTAACATTCACTGTTTGACTGAAGTCATCGAGTCTGCACTTCATTGATTATTAGTCATTTATAATTAATTGTGATTTAGTTAATTGATTTAGTAGCACCCCTTTATCCTATTATTATACTGATGATAACAAATACATCATAGATATAAACTTATTATAATAGTGACAATCTCGCTCATCACCGTTTTATTAACTATAGTAGCTCGCTTGCTTATTACTTCTATTTCATTCCCTTTACCTGCCCACGAAAATGAAGAAATGTTACTATTTTAAGGAAAACAGGTTTAAGACACTCATACATATATGAACGTAAACATGCAGAATAGTTTTGTTTCGTTCAGCACTTCTGAGCAGAAACTGGTAGATGTCTGTACCTCTGCATGACATTAGCCTTATCATAATAGAAACCATATTTCCCTAGAGTCAAACTCACCTAGAGACAAGAATGGTTTGGTTTCCATATTAGCGCATGCCAGCTTTGTTTCTTGCAAATAATGATTTATGTTCCCCAGTGGATCCAGCAGGAAACGTCGTCAGACTGAAGCCAGAGATCCGCTGTCAAAATCCACTTAATAGAACTAAAGTATGTACTTCAATCGGCTCCATCCAGTTTGTAACTCCGCGAGGGCGCTCGCTCACTTACTCCCAGTATTCCTTCAGCGATCAAGCACTGCCTCACCATAGGGACCCTACCGAGGGGGACTCCGACCACCAGCGCTTTTACAGCGACAAGCCTGTTCTACCTTTTACAATGTGGTACTGGTACTGTTGCAAACACCCCCTCCAGACTGTAAGACAATTACATCAAAATGTGTACTTAATATTTTTTACTGGTATGACTATAGACCTTATTCGTTTTAGACGTCATATTAAGTTAAATGAAAAGGAGGCTATATGTGAGGGATAGATTTACAGCGTTTACAATGGCATGCACTGTATCCACTTTATTAATATAAGAGCGGGCGTGGCCATTTGTAATTTGCATGTGCAAACTTCTGGTGTCATTCAGTTATTTTAGCTGTACAAAAACAGTCCGTTTTACTGCTTGATATTGCAAACTGGTATTTCTTATCACATTATTTTTATTTATTATCATATTACACACACATTGGTTTTTAGTGTAAATAGTTTTGCCATCTACTGCACTTTCTTAGTTGTTCTTAGTTATTTACCTATGACAGTTATTTACCTAAGACTTTCACATTTGCAGAAAAATATCTTTCTTCTGCACTGCAAAATAAGGTGGACAAAGGCCCTAGATCATGTAATTTTCACCAACTCATAACTTTCAAAACTGGAGTTTTTGTCTCCTGAAGGCTTTTTTTTTTTTTGGAAATATGTTTTGTCATATAAGTAAAAAAAAAGAAAAAAAAGTACAATACATTGTAACTCGATCCCTCACAGCCTCTTTTTCATGATGCCCAAAATGTAATATGGCATTACACCAACTAAGGTCTTAAATGTTATGTTATGTTATGTTAGGGGGGAACATATTAATTTGGTTTATCTTTTATCTTTATCTTTTTTTTTCTCTTTCCTGTTTGAACAGGACTGACAACCTCAAGGTTGTCTATCTATAGGAAAACTAAATGTGTTGTGTGTCTCACTGGTGTTGAATCCTCCAGAGAATTCATCATTAATTAATGTACATGGCACATTAAAGATCAAAACCATTCATTAGCATTATGAAACAAGTATTTAAATGAATATGCATAGATTAATATAGATAGAGGGTTTTACTCAATGCCAAAGGGGGATTAATTATAATGTGAGGTGGAGATACTAATAGCTATATAATTTTTTAAATATAAATTTCATGGCATGGTATATTAAAAACGGACATAAATGTACAGTTGGCTATAAAGAGAAATATAAAGAAAGAGTGGTTGCAAAGTGAGAGACAATATCTTTCAAAGTTCTGCCATAAAAATGAACCTATATGAATGCATCCATATGTAGGCCTATATGTAAATACTTAGATGTACTTTATGTTCAGTATGTCCATTTTTAACCTGAACAGAGCAAATGGGATCTTTGAAACTGTGATTATAATGTTGCAAATACTTATGTAATCTCTTCAAACAGGTCATGAGCTTCGCTTTGCGAAGATGTCAGTGAGCTTGTCTTGACACTGAGAAAAGGTTTTGATAGTTTGGAGTTCTATAGACAGATTAGAAGCTGTAATTAGCTGTGTGTTCAGATTTGATGTTTGTTTAAATGCCTTGAAATTTCAATCCTGTTGGTCCACATTATACTGCACTACTTCAATGCAAACTTGACACCTCTCCAATAGTGATTGTCTGAGCACAGAAAATGCTGCCTCAGATCTAATTAAATTGTAAGTTTAGAGGTCAAATAGCTTTTCAAAGCAAATGGCACAGTTCAGCTTCTGAGCTCTAGCTATATACTGCAGTTCATAGCTGTAAGAACGGATGAGGAGAGAGTCATAGGTTACAATAACAGCTGGTGAGATTGAGAGAGCATACTCACTTTTCAAACAGCATTTTACTCTGAGGAGAGCAAAATTGCTTTCCAAGAATGATTGCAATTATTCCTCAGTTCAAGCACCATTATAGAGAGAATGTATCAAGCCTAATAAATCTAAATGTGATTCATTTTAAATATGATATCTGTATCACTAGAAAAATGCAATAAGGATCAGTTCAGTTCAGAATGCAATCACTTTTTATTTTAATGCATCATTGAAATTAAAGGGATAGTCCACCCAAAAAAAGACAATTTTATCATCATTTGCTCACCTTAAGTTGTTCCAAACTTGTATGAGTTTCTTTCTTCTGTTGAACACAAAAAATATATTTTGACAAATGTAGGTAAACAAACAGTTGATGGTAGCCACTGAGTTCCATAGTATGGCAAAATTACTATAGAAGTCAGTGGCTACCAAGTCAATGGCTACAGGCTACTGTCAAATGTTTATCTTCTTCTTTTGTGTTCGACAGAAGAAAGAAATCCATACAGGTTTGGAACAGCTTGAAGGTGAGTAAGTGATAACAGAATTTTCTTTTTTGGGTGAACTGTCCCTTTAAATACTTATTTAATTAATTCAATTAAATAATTGTAATCTGCTCTTTTACATTTAAACTAAACATGTTCATCTCTTCTTGTTATTTTACTACAATAATTGTAAATAGTTTAAATACCTTGTTTAAACTGCGATAATGTCAACCAGTTTTAGAAGAAAAAAAATGAGGCAAGCACAGTGTTTTCTGATTCCTGTGTATGACAGTAGAACTGAGTTTGGTCAGTGGAGGTCTTAGGTTCACATTCCTCACTATCGATCAGGAGTTAGAAACAGCCCTGAGGTCAGTCTGTCCTGTTAACTTCAATAATCATGCAAGAAAAAAAGATAGAAAAATAAGAGAGACAGAAAAAAAAAAAAAGGATATATATATTATTTTATTTTTTATTTTTTTATAGCCTCTTTATCACTTGGCCGTTACAGGTTTTGTAATTACTCTGTCAGAATAAATCTATACTCTCAGGAACTACGCTTTCCTATAGAGATTTATTAGCAGTGATAGTGCAGGCCAACAAACAGCACAGCTGAAATGAGCACACCACACCCCTCAAAACAGGAGCAACTCCATCAAACAGTGGTATAATCAAGGGTTAGTGATAGAAAACCAAAATCCTTGTGCAGTGTGACTTTCTCAGGGAGACAAATTGAGATGTGTCTGACTGACTGATCTCTTAAGGATCAACGCCAAGTGCAGGGGCTCAGTGGCAGGAGTGATTTAGTGCGTCTCACTCTCTCCGCCGGTCAGCCACTGTGGAGGAAAGAGAGGGACAATCAGCCTCATCATAAATCTCTACACTTCCTCCCACCATCAACAGTTCAAGAGAAATACCCCCCAACCCCCTCGTACACAGC